GGTCTTTCAAGGATATCTAAGGTTGATTTGGAGTGTTGATTTAGTGATTTTCCTCTTGAATTTGCTTTTTCTCTTTTTAATATAACCTTGAACATCTAAAATTTCTAACCTCTCTTCCATCTTCTTCTTCCATATTTATAGCTAAGGTTTTTCCTTAAGATTAAACCAAGTGTATCATAGTTGGTTTGATCTTAAACTATTGGAATTAATGGCTTCTCTAGATTTTTCTTTATTTTTCTCTTTTCTTCCTCTTTTTTCCTTGGATTTTTGCTTGATTTTCTCTTCCTTTTCTTCCCTCTCATTGCTTGATCGAAGATGTTTTCTTTCTCATTTTCAAGTCTAATAGGTGCTGGAACAATCTCCTCAAAATCATTTAAGTTATCCCTTAAAATATCAACACGTTACGGTTTAGTCCCTAAAATTTTAATTCTTGCAATTGGCCCCATCATACAAAATTACTTGGTGTAATGAATGCAAGCCAATAAGCCTCCTCTCCTTATCGTACAAACTTACTAGTGAAAGTGGTTGTTTTCCTATGAGGTCCCTAATAGATAAGAAATAATAGGTCCGAATTAAATAAAACTTAGGTATAAAATTTCTCAAAAATTCATCCAACACCAATTAATATTTCTACTACATGTGTAGAAATATTAAATGTCAAAATTAGGTCAAAAAACTTATATTCTTGGAATCCAATTTAATCGTTGATATAAAATACCTTATATTAAACTAAAATGAACTATTTCTTTTATTTTTCTCAAATTTATTTTAGAAATTCATATTTAATTTAAATTGATTTTTCAAAAATTTTCAAGTTCGGATATTATATTTTTTATTTTTTAAATATTAAAAATATAAAAAATAGAAAAAAATCCAAAATGATCCTTATTTTTTTAGAGCTCCGAGATAAATTTCATTCAATGATTTTCATCATATAGCTATTTATATAATTTGTTTTTTTTTTGAATAAATGATATAAAAGCTGAAGAATAGACTAAATTTTAAAAAAAAATTGAAAAAAAAAATCAAAATACAACTTAAAAATTAAGGAACTGATTTTTAAATGGACTAAATTCAAAAAAAAAAAAAAGTTTGGCCTTTTTAGTAAAAAAAAAAAAAAAAAATTATTTCATTTGTATTTCAGACCTTTTAACATTAGACAATATCATCCCTCTTGAGACGAAACTCATGTAAAAATGCACAAGACAGTTGCTGGGTGAAGAGGCACCCTGATCTAACTTCAAATATTTTTGGGATGAAATTAGGACGGATCCGAAAATAAGTTTTTTCTTGAAGCAAAACAATAATAAATTCTACCTACCTATCCATTTTATATGGAAAACCATGGTTGGTCCAAGTTCAAGATCTAGTTAATGAACGAGTTTCAAATGCCTTGTGGTTGTCAATGGGCTAGCTGCGTCAAAGCATACCAAAGCCTTTTGCTCTTTTATAGGCCTTCAAAATCAACCCAGTTGCTTTGACTTCTCGACCTAATAAATTTTACCGGCGTTGTGCTAGTTAATTTGTTGCTTTTCCTTCTTATTTTTGTTAATGAGTTATTTGCAACTACTTTTTACTAGGAAATATAGGAAGATTTTGTTTTCTAACTGCAGTTGGAATTGTGATTTACTACTTATAACTTGTGACAAAAAATAATAATAATAATAATAATCATCAAATCAAATCATGATTATCATTTACCAGTATAAATTTACTTTCAGTATCATGAAAATGCTCAATTGAGGAAACCTAACCTGCTTTCATTATTTGGAGAACCTCTCCATTCAACGTGTGACAAAGCCTCATCTCTAATTATGACTAATTAGTAAGATTAGCTATCCTTTTAAACTTAATTTTTCTACTGTATTAAAAACAAAATGTAAGCTTAAAGAAATCTCAACACCTTAGCATCAAATCCATCCATGCCCTGCAAAGATCACAAAAAATCATATAATTATTTTGATAGATTGACTTATGATTATATAAAATTTAGGTTCCCTCACAGAATCCACTAAAACTAGACATTCATATTATTATGGTTTTTTTTTCCCCTTTAAAACCGCATAATCGTTAGGCCCAATACTTTAAAAATATTTCTAATTATAAAAAAATCTAAAATTTTTGAAGTTATTATTATTTATTTATTATTCATCCACATTTATTTTACTATTTACTCACTATTCATCTACACTCATAAGCATGTAAGCATTATTCATATAATATTATCTAATATTAAATAACTTTATCGTGATTTTAGACTTTATTTACGCATTTGATATGATATTTTTGTAATTTTAGACTCATGTTAAGGTATTTGATATGAAAGTTTTGACAAATATTGCATTTTAGTTTCTACTTTTCTAAAATATTTGTTTCGATTTTCAACTTTATTTATATGAGAATTTGGTTCTTGGATGTAGATAGAAACAAAGAGAGAAAAACTCACAACAAGATTCGTTTTGGCTACTTTACTCTCAATCCCGATTATATAAATTTTTTTATTAATAAATATAATTTATTTTTCTCTATGTATGGATTTTTTAATAAAATTTTTGGATTTAAATATGTTATCTTTTCTTTATATATATATATATATATATATATATATATCTCTTTTTGTTTAAAATTATTTTTTTATTTGTTTTTTCTTATGAAAATTCTCATGAAATTAATTTTATATTTTTTATATCATTTTTATATATTAATAAATATGATTTATTTTCTTTATGTTTGGATTTTTGAATTAAATTTTAAAATATTAGTATTTAATATTATTAATATGTATATATATTGATATAATTCATATGATAGATTCATATGATTTTTAAATGAGAGTGTTAAAAAGCTAAAAATATATTTTAGATATTTTTTCAAACTTTTTAAAAGATTAATTAAAAAAATAGAATTCACATGCTTTATTTACTTCTTATTTATATAATTAAAATTTATCGAAATTAATTTATAATTTTTTTATTTCAGTCTATTAACTTTAATATATTCCTTGCTATTTCTTTATTTTTTGGATATTTTTTTATTTATGTTGTACACTCTAAACCCATTAAATATAATCATAAAAAAAACTAAGATAATTGGTTTTATTAGAAATTAACTATGCATTCCCACATATAATCATTTATTATTAATTTTTTTAATATTCTAAAATCAATTTTTTTGAAATATAATAACTGAAATAATATTTTAGGAGAATCGTCTAATGATTCAAATATAATTTTTTATACTAATATTATTGATCATTTTATAAAGAAATGTATTTTTTAAAAAAATAATAATCTTTTCATCAGAATTAAAGAAGAATGAAAAAAAATATTTGTTTATTGATTTTTATATCAATTGTTTTTTTATTTTCTAATACAACCTTATGAAAAAATATTGAGGTATTTTTTAAAAATTTGGATTAAGCATTCTATTGAGATTGTTGCAAGTTCTTATTTTAAAATTAATACATAAAAAATAACAAATCATTACAAAATTTGTGAAAAGTATAAAGAAGAATAAATTATAAAATTAGATATTTTTTTATCTTTAATTCAATATATTTTAGCAAACATGTAATATACGATAAACTATCCAATTAAAAATTTTTAAATAATTTAATATATTTTGCTTTATTCGTAGCATAACGTAGGTAGCCTATTGGTATCTACTATTTCATATTATAAATATAGAGACTCCCTTTCATAAAAACAGATTCAATAAATACGACACGACTTCTGAAAAATATATAAGAATATTCCGAATGACTCCAAACACAAGTTTAGTAAGCTCAAAACATAAAAACACGCACAGAAAAAAATCTTTTTCTCTCGGTGAAAACATATGTACATCTTCTTTAAATATGCATACATCATGCCCACAACATTGACTTAACTATCAAGTGAATTTGTCTAATACCTTTTATTTCTTCTCGCTATAAGTATCATTTATATCCTTTAAAGGAGGCTGAACTTTGAACTTAACAATTTCCGATGCCGAAAACTCGAAGATCATCAACTTACTAATTTCTTTCTTTGCTATAAAAAAAATTATTTAAAGTTCCGTGAAAAATGAAATTATTGTGAATTTCTTAGTTCTAATGTGAAGAGTTTGTGGAATGGAAAGATAAATTTAATTTTAATATATGAAAGTAATATGAGAATATTCATGTAATCATAAAAAAAGGAAGAAAAAGAAGATATATAGCTAATAAATTCAAGCATGGCCTCATTAATTAATTAAACAACTAGGATCTACTTGTGATAAAGAAACCACCCACAGCAATCACGGTCCATTGACTGTTAGTAAGTTTTTCTTTTCTTCTTAGATTATTTACATAAAAAATAAATATAAAAAATATATATAGAAAGAAAGAGTCAAAAGTTACAGTTAATATCCACCCTCAATCTTAGGCCGACTATGTTCCTTCCATCAAAGTACGTCGACCAACCATGTCCCAATGGATAAATACACAACAGTGCTTTTCACGTTTCTCTATTTGTCTCTCTGATATTTCGGATCACCACATGACCTTTTCTTAGCTTCCTCAAATCAAACTATCCAATCTTTGTGCCTCTGAGTCTCTCTCTCTCTACGAGAGCTATCTCAAATTGTTTTGAGAGATTCAACAACCACCCACCAGAACCAAAGGCCAAAAAGAAAGAAGAAAAAGTCAGGAGAAAAGACAAACCCAGTTTTTTTTTTTTCTTTTGTCTTTCGCTGATCTTTTGTTTGTGGATTGTGGGTCTTTTTGTCTCTCTTGTTAGGTGGGGTCTCCTCTCCTTAAGACCAAAATATCTTTTGGCCTTTTCTTGCCTCTTTTTATTTGACACACAAAAAAATCAAGGGAACTTTGCTCCCATTTTGGTTTCTCTTCAATCCTTAACTTTCTTTATAGGCCATTACAAATTCTTACATGCGATATTTCTATTATCGTTTTTGTGTTTTGGGTTCAGAGTTTGTCCATTTGTAGTACGTTGTTAGATGTACTGCTGATCATAAAGTTGATGTGTTTGGCTACTGGAGCTACATCAAGTTTGACGAATATGGGGTTTGATGACAACATGAAAAAGGAAGAAGGAGGGAATAGTGGGGTTATGGAAACACGTGACGAGGGTCATGAGGGAGAAGAGAGGATAGTGAGGCAGATGAGTGAGAGTGAGACCTCTATGTATGCGACTGATCACGACGAGGAAGATGGTGAGGCTAACAAACTTCAGCTAGGCCCTCAATACACCCTCAAAGAACAGCTTGAAAAAGACAAGGTTTGTTTTTGGTTTTTTGTTGCTGTTGTTATTTTATGTTGCATTTTTAATTATGGAAATGTATTTATTAATTCTTTTTTCATATATTGGTGTATGGATTTTCAAATTTCAGGATGATGAGAGCTTGAGGAAATGGAAGGAGCAGCTTCTTGGGAGTGTGGATTTGAACAACATTGGAGGTACATCGTTGTCAAATTTTCTTTTTCCCTATCTAAATTTTGTGAGTTATTGGATTTTGTTTTTTGAAATTCTTCAAATATATCTTGGTTTCTGTTAATTTTCATTTCCATAATTGATGCTATATGCTCATGCAGAGAATTTTAAATTCCTTTCCTTGTGTATTTGCGAAATTCTCGTACTAAATCTTGTGTGTTGCTTTCGGTAAAGTTTGTTTTTCTTTCCATTAATTGCAGAAACACTTGAACCAGATGTGAAATTTATTGATTTGTCAATCCTCTCTCCTGGTAGACCTGACATTGTACTTTCGATTCCTGAGAATGGGAAGCCCAAAGGTTTATGGTTTACATTGAAAGAAGGCAGTCCCTATAACTTGAAATTCTCCTTCCAAGTCAGTAATAACATTGTATCTGGTCTCAAGTACACCAACACTGTTTGGAAAACTGGCGTCAAGGGTGAGCTATCTCCTAACTCATTCATGCCAAAACTTGTGTTTTAAGCATTTGAATGTTTCTTCCACCTTATAATTAGTCTTTATTAATTCAGTGGACAGCACAAAAGAAATGCTTGGAACCTACAGTCCTCAGCCAGAGCCTTACACGCATGTGAATCCAGAAGAGACCACACCCTCAGGAATTTTTGCTAGAGGATCATACTCAGCAAGGTCAAAGGTTAGTTCAATTCCCTCGTCTGTACTTACAGTCTAATTTCTAGGGTTCTGAGTTTTCTTCTTGGATAATAATTTTGTAAAAAAAAAAAAGATTAAGTTTCATTTCCTTAATAATCTGCTATCGAACACCATTTATTCATTGTCATGTCTGCTCTGAAGCAAATTATAATATAAAGTCTCTCCCTTTAATTTTGTCCTAACCATCTTTATATCTTTGCTCTTCCTCAGTTTTTTGATGATGATAACAAGTGCTACTTGGAGATCAACTACACCTTTGACATTCGAAAAGAATGGGCTGCTACTTAATTAACTGATCAACATCATTTTTCCAACAACCTCTTCAGGCAATCTTCTGTCTTAATTAATATTCTTAAACTGTAATCAGTTTCAAGTGTTCCCTCTTCAGAACATGTTTAATTAATTGTTGTCTCTAGTTCCATTAACCGCTTGTAATCTTATCTGTGGTCAGATATCACAGCAATAGAGACGAAGAAAATGTCATTGGTAATTTTGTTTTTAATAAATGAGAGCTTAGCATGTCATTAAAGTACTTACCTTTTTTTAATCTTTTTAAATCTCACATTTGCAAATCAAAACCAGAAGTGAAGTAACCAATTGGTTATTAGCAGGCTGGGCTCCATTTATGTAGTAGGTTGTACGTAACTCAATGTTATATAATTATAACTTAAAAATAATGTTTTATAGCCATGCAGATGATGGCTTTGATTTTGTTTTAGTTGTATGTGTCTATTTAAATTTTAATTTCTGGTCTGGTATCGCTAAAATATTATATATATATATATATATATATATATATATATATATATGGAATTGCTTTAATTTTAGTAAACTTCAACAATTCTTTTTGTTAGAATTCTCAATGAAGAAATTAAAATATTTTGAAAATGGTTGAGAAATAAATAAAATTATTTTTTTTCAAAAAGATAAAAACTTCCGAAAATGTTTAAGAAATAAAATATTAATATTTTTAAAACAGAATAAATTTTAAGAAAAAAAATTCCAACAGTAATTATTCATTAAAATTTTAAAAAAATTTTAAGAAGTAAAATAAATTCTTCTTTTTTTTTCCTCAAAAAATTTAAAATTTTGAATAATTTAAGGAATAAAAAAATGAAATGCTCAACTGTTAAACATTTTGAAAATATTTAAGAAATTAAGAAAATTATTTTCTTATTTCTAATAAAAAAATTCTAAGAATTTTAACGGTTGAGAATTTCCAAATTTTTTCTTATTTCTTAAAATTTTGGATGTTTTATGTTTTTTAAAATACTTTTCTTATTTTTAATGACTGGGTATATATTGTTAGAATATTTTTGTTTTGATTATTGAAAATTTTATTTTAGTTATTATTGAAGATTTTATTTTAGTGTAAAAATATTAATCTTTTTATTCATTAAATATATAAAATATATTTTTTTTAAGTTAATTTTGTTTCTTCTAGATATCTCTCTACCGTGCCGTTAAGTGCTCAATTGCAATCTTACGGTAAGAGAAAACAAAGAAAATACACTAACAAAGATTGTGCTATAAAGAAGGCATGTGAGAGAAAGGTAGGGTTTAGAATTCAAGAGTTCGACAAATAAGGAAAGAGCTGCATTAATTAGATTTGAGAAAAATATGTGGTATAACTCTATTGAGGGAATGGCATGGATTGCTGTAACCCCTGTAAAAATCATTATCCAGTAACGCGACGTGTATTAGAATAATTCTATATATACGTATATTAAGAGTAAGTGTAATTATCATTTCATCATGAGAAATTAATGCTTGAAATATGTAATTTATGTTAAATTAAAGTTATTGTGCTTAAGATTAATGGTTTAATTATTAAAGAAATTAAATATGCAAAATCAGTGTTTTAAGGACTATATTCTATCCGAGTTTTGTGTGAATTATTTGAGGCCTTTAGAGTAATTTTTGGGTCAACCTTAAAGAATGAAAGTTGTTCATCTATGTGTTTAATAGGCCTGTATAAAATTTTATAATATTTGGACCTATACATTAAGAGTTATACCAATTATAGTGAGGGTTGTTTCGAAATGCATTCTGCTGGAATTTTGGGAGAAGAATCTGGCCGAATCTTGTGAGATTTATTTGATACTTTTAGATTGATTTTTGAGAAAAACGTAAAGAATAAAAGTTGTTTTTCTATGTGTGTACTAGCTCTCTATAAAATTTTATAAAATTTGGATACATATAGAAAGAGTTATGCACATTTTAGTATAGATGGGTTAGAAGGAAACACTACTAGAATTTTGGGGGGAAAAGAAATTTTGAATTTTTAAAAATGGAAATTTCCGAATTTTTATGAAAGAAAGCAGTTTTAGTTACTTGAATTAAGTTAATTAATGATTTTAATTAGTCTAAATTTTATATAGACACCTAAGCAAATGCAATAAATGAATTTAATACCAACTCACTCATTATGGATTCCAAAGCAGCCAGCTTTCCTCATGACTCACCCATAACCTTTACACCTTATCCTATTAATTTTTAACACTTGTAGCTGAATGAAAGTAAGTATATATATGTATAGCAAGTGTTAAAATAGGAGAAACACTTTAGTAAACCGTAGGTACCAGAAATTGAGAGAGAAAAGGCAAGAAAGAAAAGAGAGGAAGAAAAACGTGAGGAGAGAAAGGAAAGGAAAGAAAAAGAGGAAGGGAAAAAGGAAAGAAAAAGAGCTAGGAAAACTATATTCAAACCTAAAAGAGGTAAGTAGGTTTCATTTTCTTGGCTGATTAATGTCTTAAATTATTTTTTAAAAGTTATTTTGTTAGTGTTTATTTCATGGGTTGTAATAATCGTCATTGGTTATATGCTTGATGCTTGGGATAAATCTATGTATGGATGCCTTTTTGTGATGATTTATGATGTTATAATTTTTTGAAAAATGTCCAAGTATGTGGTGATGGGTTGGATTGAACTTGGACTAAATTTAAGTGAACTAAAACATGTTTAAAATTGGCTTGGAATGAACTAATAAATTAGTGTTAATAAGGAGTAAACTCTGTCCGAATTTTGGGGTGTCTATTCAAGGATTTTAGATCGATTTCTAGGTGAAACTTAAAGCATAAAAGTTGTTCATCTATGTTTCAACTAACTTCCTTTAAAATTTCTTGGTCATTGGATTAGTGTACAAAGAGTTACACCCGATTTAGTATGGATAGCTTTAGATAAACTACTATTAGACAGATTGCTCCCTAAGTTTCAAAAATTTGTAATTAATTGTGTACTTGGTATTTAGACCTACTTTTTGGATATGTTATAAATAAATATGTCTAGTATCTAAAATAAAATGAGTAAGATTTAATTATGTTCTGAAATTAGAAAATTATTTACTCAATTAGGAGTTGCCCGGTAATAAACCCTAAAACCAAAAAAATTAGACTTTGACAAAATTAATAGATTTGGAATAAACTAAATGAGCTTGGACTAAATAAAATGAAATTAAATAGAGTCAATGGACCTAGGATAAAGTTAATGGGCTTGGATTAAATTAAATGGACTTGGACCTTCTTTTAAATATTAATGAACCTAATGAACAATATTAATGAGCGGAGATTGTGTTCCCATTGTGGGTATCATGATTGGTATGTGAGCAATGGATAAATTCCGAGTGTGAGTTGGACCGTGAGTATGGCATGAGAATGAAGGGTTGGTACCCGAATTTGGTTGAATATGATTAAATATGTCATCACGTGCATCATGTGCATAGTGGGTGGTTTAAGACAAGTCAATTGATTGAGAAACGGTTTATACATCTAGGTTTGATAACCTAATTGGAATAAGTGGGTATTAGTAGTCCGAGTACTCTAGGCTGTGTGCCTGCACTATTAGACGATGGATTTCCGCTAATAGTAGTTACAACGAGGGATAATTTCGTTGTAGCGAGAAGATGATCCGAGGATCATCTGGATGAAATCAAGTTGTGTGCTTGCACCTTGTTAAACGATGGATTCCTGCTAACGGTAGTTACAACGAGGGATAATTTCGTTGTAGCGAGAAGGTGATCTGCGGACCACCGGATGATAAATAGAGTAGGCTGGCTAATACCCGGGGTACCGAGATTAAAATTTATGAGTATGGTGGGAAGTCAAAACAACATTGCATATCACGTGCATCACCACGCTTGCGAGCTTCGGCTCACCATGTTGTTATTTTTTTTATGTCTTGACGAGAAAAAGGACAAGTTGGTACGGAGGCGGTGGCTCCTCCTAAGCTGGCTCATGTGAGGCACCATATATTAATTTTTATTTTGTACGTAAATTTGGGGTATGGAGTTCGTGAGAAATTGAATATTGCTCGTAATGTTTTATTAATGTATTTAATTATGTTATGTAAATTTTATCTTAAGGAGTTATATACGTAATGTCTTGTTAAAGTCCTAAGAATATCATAAGAAAACTACTTACGAGTTTAGGGTATGTCGGTGTAACGCGCTTCGTCCAGTATCCTACTTAGGTAGTAGAAATACGACTAGGGCGGGGCGTTACAATTGCATACTTTTTACTTTTTAGTCATCAAAAGTCATGACTACTCTATTAAAATTTAAAGATATTTTATATCTATTTAAGTTTTCGATCGATCTAAAATTTATAATTTTTTATACATATATGAAAAATTTTATAATACATCAAAGTAATTAATGACATATACAATAATTACTTTATAGATCTATTTTGAGTAAAGAGATAAACAAAAAAAAAATTACATCTATACCCATTAAAGTTATGAGAAGATTTTCACGTCCGTTCAAATTTTTTTTCCCTCTTTTTATGTCTATCTCTCTTCTTAAAGTGAACATATGTAGTATTACTCGTACATGCCTCTAGTTATTTTTGATGTATTTTAAAATTTCTCATATATATATATATATATATATATATACCGTTTAAAAAATTTTATTATTTATATTTCTTTATGAAAAAATATCTAATCTGTTCTGTTCATCTATTTGATTTTCTACGTACAGTAGAATATGTGTATATCTAAACATATTTTTAGGACGCCAAGATTGCTACAGCACAAAAAGTGATGCGACCACCATATTGGAAGAGGTAAATGGTAGAAAATAAATATCGCATAAAAGTATTATTGATGTAAAAGGGCATTCATATGTCCATAACAAAAACAGAAGTGCATGATGTTACACAGAAGAACAAAGGGGATTTATACATGTAAAAATACCAAGAGCCACACATTAATTAGTTCTTTATTAAATTAGACTATAATTCCTTCTTCTTTTTTTTAATTAATTGCACATTTCAATGTTTTCAATTTTA